CCCCCCCTTCCCCTATTCTCTGTTAAGAAGCTGCCACTTCTTTTCATAATCCCTACTATTCAGATGTTTTTAACCTCCCAAACAGAACAATTTTATATGTATATAATATTCTCTCTCTCTCTCTCTATATATATATATAAGAGAGAGAGAGAGAGAGAGAGAGAGAGAGAGAGAGATCTAAAACCATTTGCTATTGTGAATATGCAATTCTCATGTTACTGTACCTTTATATGAGGGTATACAAAAATATTGGGAACATGACCATTCAAAAATATGCACGCAAAAAACAAACTAAAAAGAAAGAGAAATGAAATATAATGCTGAAGTGAGAACATCATGATCTCATAAGAAGATTAACTGAATTACTAAAATATTCCATAAAATTTCTTATTTAAAGGAACTAAGAAATGAAAGACTGCTGAAAGGGCATAATTTGTCTGTCATTTCATTTTTTTCGACATCTGCCGTGGGAGGACAAGGCTCCTTATTTATGATTATTTACAACAAAAAAAAAAGTGACTCATTACATATTTTTCTGTAGTATGATTGTGATTATGTGCACCGCTAACATGCAAGCTTCATCTGCCTGCTAACCAACCTCAATCAAGCAAGTGGAACTGAATATTGGCATTGCATGCAGGTAAATGTACATGTGAACAAATGAACATGATGATGTATTTAATATACACAACCTCTTAAATCTTCCTTTGTCTACTATTTTAGAAGAAACCACTTCTCCAGCATTTTGGTAAGCGTACCACCAGAACTGTGAAAAGCATGTTAAACCCAGGGTATACAGCTGCAGCGGAATGCTCTAGTAACACAAAGGGAGGACAGCTATGACAATTATGGCAATAATTATAAATCACTTGTATCGAAGACAGAAAACTGACTGGTGCTCTGGAACACATTCCAGTTAAAACAACTTCTCTCATGAGCACAGGGTATTTTTCCAGTGGGCTCAGAGATATCTGATTAAGGCAAGCATGTCTTTCCCAGCCATATCATGGCTGTGGGGAGACTCTTGGTATTTTCTGAATGAGACTTAGATTTCAAAAATGTGGAAAGAACTTCACTAAGAACAATAAATGTAACTAATGCAAGCTTCAGTTGAAGTACTAATATTTTTTGCGAACCTATACAGGGGCTGATTAGAACTTCGTGTCCAAAATAATGCTCTATTTCAAGAATGAATATATTAGATATTGAGTAGTTTGGTAATGACATCAAGCAATATGATACATGTGTAGTTTTAACCCAGTTTACAACTTTTCTTTAGAATTGAAGAGACAAACTTTGACTGCATTTTAATTTACTACATTTTTTGTCTAGTGAAAGTTAGAAAATTGCCTCCCTGTGCACAATCCTTTTTTCAACCCAGTGAAAACAGCAAGCAAAGGCCTGGTACCTTTATTATTTCCTGTGATGAAAACACTATGCTAATCTGAAGTTATATGATGAAAAATGCTGCTATAGAATAAGAGTGTAAAGCTAACCATATACCGGGATACATTGCTGAGCAAAGACCAAAAGAAGCACTGGCACTCTGTGTATAGAAATGCAGAGGTCTGGAGAAAATCCCACACAGCTTGCCCATTTCAAAAGCTAGGAGTCCTTGGAAGACAGGAGCAAGGTAACGAAGGATGAAATGAAGCCTGTTTAGAAATAGTGAAGGTCTCATGAAATTAGACTTTTCTCTGGAAGCAAGGAAGACAAGGATTATCAATGGTTAGGTGTTTTATTTACTCTTAGTAAAGTAAAATTTGAATGGGTCTTAAAAACACGGAGCAGGCGACACATTAAATGGGTGCAGTATTTGAAGAGTTTTGTATATGCCTCCAAATAGAGTAGTAACAATATACAGAACTACCTCACATTGATAGACAGGTTTCCTGAGATGAAGCTTAAAATGCTGAAAGAGTTGCCTGGAAAGAGT